TACTACCACAAAAATAAAATTCAATCAAAACTAAATAATATATATATATATATATATATATATATATATATATTTCAACTAAATATCTCAAGTAATGTGGTGTAAAATATGTAAAAGAATATGCTTATAGAAAGATTTTGAAATCATTGCAAAATTATAAGAAAAATTATATTTATTCTTTTTTCTAGAACAAAATATTAAATATTAAACTAATATTTTAGTGATGATATAATTTCTTTGTGGAGGTAAAATTGAATTATTTAAAATAATAAAAAAATATTCAATAATGTATATACATGTATATATATATATATATATATATATATATAGGATTTAAAAGTAGAAACAAAGTATTAACAACATTTTATTAAATATTTTATTATCAAAGGTTTAATTTCTTTGGTAATATATAATAACTACTAATACATATGAATTTTGAGTTATTTATATATATAAATAAATTAATCTATTATTAGATTAAGTATGTTCATATATTTTTATTTTTTACCATATATAATTTTTTCTTGTTGTATTAAACTAGTTCTATTATATATAAAAACAAATCAAATACTTTTGGATGGATTGCATATTTATATTATCTTTCTATAAAGCTTTAATTTTATATCTAAATTTTGATATACTTTAAAAAATTTGTCTAGAAAATTATTATTTTTTAAAGTTATTTAAGATAAAGCTTTAGTTATAAGTCACATAAAATACGTTAAAAATGTAACGCCTCGAATAATAATAATTTATATTAATATAAGATAAGTTATATTTTTAAATCCTAAAAAAAATAAAATAGAGTTTATTAGAATATTATAGATAGTTACAAAATATTACCATAAATGCTTATTAAATTTTTGATTATCTTTTGATGTGTTCTTTTGATATCAACAAAAAACCCAATCAACTTCGATGAGAATTCCTATTTTATGTTATTTTATTCAATAAAATGTATTAAAAATATTGAAAATTATATTTTATTTTATATTATAAATTACTGAAATATATATATATATATATATATATATATATATATATATATATATATATAATTGTAAGATTTTTTATTTTTCTCTAAAAAGAAAAATTAATAAAATTTCTTTTTGTAACCCAAACACTTTCTTGAAGAACCATAAAAAATAAAAATTATAAGAGCCATATATTCTAATAAATTAAAAAAAAAATTATTCAATTATATCAAGTTTTTGAATTTATTATTTTAATTAATCTCTAACTGTTTGTGAATACTTAATGAAAATACAACAATTTTCTTTTTTTTTAAATGTTTAGAAATAACTCCAAAGTGCTATATACTTCAATAATTAATTTATTTTTACATCTTGATATATATTTAATACAAGCTCGTACAATATTCATTAATCTTATAATCATATGCCATGGGAGTTTGAAATGTATATTTCTTCTATTGTTTATTTGATTTTTTTTAAGATTTATTTTTCAACATATATATATATATATATATATATATATAGATTTCATTATGTATTATCTAGATTTTTAAAATATAAAATTTGAAAAATCGCTAAGAAAATTTTAATTTATAAAAATATCTTTTAAAAAATTATTTCTAAAAAACTATTTAATACAAATTTAAATCCTAATAATCCTTAAAAAACTCTTAAACCATATATATTATAATTCATGCACTTTAGTAATCATAAGCATTTTCTAACTTCAAAAACTTTAAGTTTTCTAAAATAATAATAATTTTTTGAAATCATATATTATAGTTATTATATAAAATTTCTAAATTCTAATAAATTTGAGTGATATTAAAGGCCTTATCTACTTTGAAAGCAAACCTAGAATATTTTAATCTTAAAATTAAAACATTAAATTGTATAATAAAAATTATTGATTTATGGAATCAAAGCTAACAAAAAATATTATAGATAAGTAGAAAGAAATCAAAGAATAAATAGTTTAAAAAATAAATTTTTATTTTTAGTATTAAATAATATATATATAAAAAAATTGATGTATGATATTTTTAATTTTATGATTATAAATTGATTAATATCTATTATCCAAAAAGTTAGTTTCTAAGAAAATATATTTTAGCTTTTATGATTGTCCTATTTTTAAGTTGATTTCTACATTAGGTTCAAGTCTTAATTCTTTCAAAATAGATTACAATCCTTAAAATTAGATAATGTTTGCAATAAGAAGTTTGATATTTTACAAGGTCTCATGCCTCAAACTAAATTTTGGTCATAAAAATAATCAATGTTTTTTTAAAAATTATGAACACATAAAGAATCATTAAAATTGATTAAATCAAAGTAGTTTCTTTTATCTTTATTTTTTATGGCCTAATTTTCTTAGGCTATATTCTTGGTCTTATTTACAAAAAAAGAGCCTTGGATCTTTATCTAGTACATTGCTTTTGCTTGCTTTGTCTCTAAAATTATTTAAATACAAAAACTATTAATCTATTTCAAAGCCACTAATTAATTTGTTTATTTTTTCTAATTTTTTCTTGATACACATACAAAATTGATTCTTAATAAAAAATTCTTAATGTCCATTTTTTTTTTTTTTTTTTTTTTTTTTTTACTTGTTTATGTTGAATAGTGTTATAATCAATCTTGTCAAATGCATTTTTTATTTTTACTTGTTTATGTTGAATAGTGATATAATCAATCTTGTCAAATGCATTCTAATTTTCTTAATGTCGTAGAAATAAATAGAAGTAAATAAAATCATATTAGATAGTTAATATTCTCCTATAGCAACATCATAGATGCTTTTTAGATCCAAATTGGATCTATTTGTGGACCATGTAGCTACAGCAACTTCAATAGGTTTCAAACTTTTACAAAGCTATTGTAAAAGCATCCTATGACTTAGATATTAGGCTTTTAAACGTTATAGCCTTTACAAAGCTTCTATATGGTATTTTTTTAAATTAGTATAAAAAGGCAAAACTAAGACGATCCTTAGTCTTATCAATATGTTTCTTGTATCCTAAACTTAATTCAAGTTAATCTCATCTTTTGTACTTAAGAATAGCCATTCTTCTTCTCTTACAAAAATACAACTTTTTATCTACTTTCTTTATTTTTAATTATATGAGATAATATGTTTTTATGGACAAGTTATTAGAATCATGTTTACAAATAATTTTACAAGAGAAATTTTTGCAATATCAAAGGTTTATTTTTTTAACTTTTTATTAAAAAAATATATGCTTCTATAAAAATATTTTTAAATGTTCAATAGTTATATATATATATATATATATATATATATATATATGTATATATATATTATACTACTAATACAATAAAAAATTGTAATATATAAACTTTGTCTACTATTACAACTAACACATTGAATGACTAATTTTGAAGATACAAAGATAAAATAAATATTTGCAACAACTATTCTACTTGTATTCATCCATATTGTTTCAAATTATTATCAAAATTTAGTTTCATCTACTAAAGAATAAAAATATTCCTTTTAAAAAAATAAAAAAATAGTAAACTTTTTATAGAGTCAATTACCAAGTATTACTTATCATTAAGTTCTAACAATAAATTTAATCAACTTCAGCATATTAAGTCAAATTGATTAGAAAGTTATATAGCAGACCAACTTTACTATGGTTTTATTTTTTTTATGATCATAAGATAATATATTAAATAAGTTAAATATGTAATTAGTAAAACTTCAACTCTTTATGTATATTAGTTTTTTTAATAAAAATTTAAAATTTGAGTTATAATTATTTTATTTTTTTTCAAAATTAAATGACAACCTTAAAACACATTTAGTATTATTTGATTTTTTTTAAACTTGATTTTTCAATATTGTATCTAAATTTTTAATTTTAATGCATTTTTATGTTGCTTCTTTCATTTCTTCTTCTATATTTTAGTAAGTATTCAAGGCTTGTGATATAAATGTTTACATTATTAGCTATATGCTATTATTTGTTTGATGTACATAAATGTATTCAATTGTTTACTTATAGGAAAATAATTAGTGTGATTTTCCTTGTATGTAGTATTTTTGAAATATTTTATTTTTTCTATTAATAGTTTTTGAAGGGGTTACAATATTATACTACAATGGTGAAATTCCAACGGAATTGGCTATAATCATTAAAAAAGTTAAAAATTGTAAGTAGCAAATAACTACAATAATATGGATGACATTAATAGTATTTGATAATATGAACAACAACAAACATCTAACCTCTTCATTTTCTTAGTTAAAGTCTTATCTATGTAACATAACATTACTTGTTTGTGTCCTTTATACCTTTCTCCATTGTTTGCCTCATAAGTGAAATCCTTCACCTAAAATTAGGCTTAACACATGATAAAGAAATGGAAAAGGAATGTTGAGTCAAATTAATTAAAAAATATATGTTAAAATCAAGAGGACAAGAAAAAGAGAATGTTAGGGAAATAACAATAACTATTTCTACACGGGGCATTATGGAAAAAACTTTTATGAAGTTATGATATTTTGTAAAATCCCCCATAATTTATAACTACCGACAAAAATGGCAGTCTAACACGGAAAGCATCAAAGCGACAGAATACGTCCTAAGATATCGTTCATCCGATATGTCATCCATCCACATCTTCCGTTCGTTTTTCATCCAATACGAAAAGATATTCATCGGAAAGGGGGCATGCAGGGGCTGCGTGGCGAAGGGTGGTATGAAGGAGGGCGGCGACTGGCGGATGCCCGCGGCGAGGGGGGAGCGCGTGCCTTGCACAGGCGCAGCGCTAGTCGGCACGCAGTCCCCGCATGCGCTGCATGTCGTGCTAGTTGCAGGTAATCCCAGGCTGTCCTCGCAATTCCAGGTTTTGTTCACCCGACTCACGAATCGTCCATGAAGGATCCTGCCCCACGCGGTCGGTTACTCATCCCCATCACTTCTCCTGCGCTGATCTCGCAGCCTCGTGGTGAAACCGCGACGGATTCGCAGTTACTGCTCTTTGCTCGGCTTTCGCAGGACCGTCACTCCCTGGAATTGTAGACTAGATGGCTGGATTGCCGGGGTTTTGAGAGATGGAGAGGCTGTGTTACTGTTTGGAGGCGCGTGGGTTTTGTGTACGGGAAGCTGTGGGTTTCGAGCATTGGGAGTTGGCACAGCACTGTGGGTTTGTCTTCGGAGCATTTGACTTGTGGTGTAACAGATGGTGTTCTGCTTGGGTGGATCCCAGAAGCCCATAGCATATACTAGCATGGAAGGAAAAAGTAACTATTATTATACTGGCATTCATAATACACATAAAAAAAGGTTGGAAGGTTTTGTGCGTATGCGGGAGGGTTGCTGTATGGGACGTAAAAGAATGAGACGCCACCCGTCATTGGGTGTTAAGGTGAGCGATGACAAATTGTTGGAAGAGTCCTGGTAGCCTGCAGGTCGGCTCGATATAGCAACAGACCTTGGGGAGATCTACTCCGCATCTTCAGCTTACCGCCATAGTAAAACCCTACTCCCACTTCAATAAGTTTTCTGTTCTACTCGTGTCCGATCGACTACTGAACCGCCGCAGATGCAAACACCTCGAGACCAAATACTTTATATTAAAATAAACGATGAACCCTGTTCGAGAGAGTTAAGGATATCTCTATCCAGTGCAGTGTTCCAGCAGATTTCTGGTTCTCGAGATTCGAAGCAAGGCATAATTGGCGTTTCCCGATTCTCGTGGTGGGGATGCACTGGACGCGGAGAGAATTGTCCTCGTCGCCTATTTTTCGGCGAGGTGGAGAGCACACGCCCGCGTGTGCTCAAACGAACTCGGCAGGAAACGGCTCCAACATGCTCTAAGGGACGGTCTACATCTACTAGAAGGATGACCGACAGTATCGATGCCGATGGGAGTATTGATGAAGGATTCGTCGGGAAATCGGAGTCCCCCAAGTTCATCCCAAGATTCCAGTGGAACCGATTTAAGTTTTAGGGGCATCGGGGAGTTCTGCACTTGCCCGGCGCTTGTGATTCAGATTGTCGAACCTAAGGTGTCGTCGCAGTGGCAACATCCCGTAAGGACCGAGAAGCGAATGAGCACCGTCAGATTCCTGCAGTCCCTCTTTCAAGTTAAATTGGAGCAGCCCCACCTCGTCACTAAGACAAGAAGTTTCGGTCTCAAAATTCGTCACAGCACCGCTTCGAAACGGAATCATCCACCTGTGGATCTGAGATCGACGTGGAAATTGCATTCTGCTGCTATACCCTGGATGGAAATGTCGGGATGAAGGATTGTCCGGAAAAGCATACGTCATACGGAAGGGTACCACGGCTAGTGCGTACTATCTGTCCTTTGGGTTTCTTTAATTAGGGCCTGGGCAGCCTTGGGCGATGCTTCTGGGCCAGTGCACGATGATGCTGCGACCGAGTTTTTTGCGACCTGATCTTGGCGTCATTGTAGCGCTGCTCATTGAATCAGTAAAGCGTGAAGTGATAGAATGGGAGGGAAGTGCATATAAAGAGCGAGTGCGCTCTGAATTTGTATCACTCCTGGTCGATCTTTGGGCATTGGAAGATTGTTCTGAAAGTCAACCTTCAGGAGGTATCAGGTGTGTTGCAGCGATACACTCGAAGGCAGCTGACTTTTGCTCAGCTGGGTCCTTCATATAATGTTGACTTAGAACCTTTAGAGTGGTCATGAACTTACTTTCTTGTACCAAGTAGCTGCTTGCCTAGTGACCAGTTCTCTCGAGTCTTCATGATCAACTTCTCGTCCTGACGTAGTGGAATCCGAACTAGATGACTCGCCGCTGTTGTGTCCACAGCGAACTGAAGGTCAAACTGGTGATGGATTTCCATGCTGGTTTTTAGGACTTTTCGACAGCTCTTGCATTCCTGGGCTCACTGCATGTGAAACTGACTCCTCTTGACCGTCTCAGATTGGTGGGTTCAAAATGGCGGCTGCACTACCGGAGTACCTCTGGTTCGTGGTCATTGGTGCGTTTGCGGCCTTCGGGTTCGGCTGGGGAAATGGTAAGTTCACTTTCTCGTCTTACTCATCTTCAAGAGTTGTCACGAATTCGATAATCCTTGTCTAAAATGTTGGTGTTTCGTAGTTGGCATAGTTCTTGCCGAATGCAACTTGCCACCGAGCCCCTCATCTTCCAAGTTACGCTAGCTCTATGTGCTGTTCATTATCTCCTCTCCTTGTTCGATGATCACATGTACTTTGGGTGTGCAGGAGCGAATGACTTGGCAAATGGGTTCGCTACCTCGGTGGGAAGCAAGACCCTGACGATGAAACAGGCCGTTCTGGTACTAATTAGCACTCTCGCATCTTCCCGTCAGGGTGGATGGTCGGTTATCTGCGGCAATGTTCATCCTGTATTCTGCATTGCCAGTTGTTTTGTTTTGGAGGTTCCAAATGAATTTTTGGACTGTAACCATTACTCTGCAATGTGCGTTTGTGCAGATTGCAATTGTGTTTGATTTCTTGGGTGCCATGCTGCTCGGTCGAGTGGTGACCAACACCATAGCGAGCGGAGTGGCTGATATTAACAGCTTCTCTGCTAATCCCGAAGTGTATGCCTATGGCATGATTTGCGCGTGCATTGCTGGTACAATCTGGATTGCGGTCGCTTCGAAGATTGGAGTAAATGTCTCTGGCACCCACTTCATTGGTGAGTTGTTTTTCTGTTCCGTGTGTTAGGATATCACAGATGCAAATTGCTGAGCTTCATCGACGCAGAATTTAATTCATCACGTGATTTCATAAACCTGATTTCACACGTTAATCGTGTTCTTGTCATTTTCCACTCTACCACAATCTCGTGTGTTGACGTGAGCATCCTCTGTGACCGTGCACAGTTGCCAGTATCGTCTCTTTTGGCTTGATCTGGGACGGCTCGGAGGCAATCATCTGGAGGGAGAAGGATTCCTCTGCTGCCTTTCCTTACAAGGGCGTCATTACTATCGTTGTATCGTGGATATTCTCTCCTATCCTCACCGCTGCTTGCTCCGCTATTCTGTTTGGAGTGGTCCGCACCTTAGTGCTGCGACGCAAGAACGCCTACACTCTGGCCTTCTGGACCTTGCCCCCAATTGTGTTCACCACCACGTTCATTAACATGTACTTCATCTTCACAAAGGGAATCAAGAAGCAGCTCGTCACAGAGAAGAAGCAGTGGACGGACGACAAATCAGCTTGGGTCGCTGCAGTCATTGCAGCCAGCGCGTTTGTTCTCACTGCTGTTGCCATCGCACCTTTGCTGAAGCGCCACTGTGACAAACTCTTTGACAGGTACGTAAAGGCACTCATGATTTAGAACATTATAATCGGTTCATCTCACTTGATAAGGTAGCTAGATGGTTATTTCGAAGACTGAAGGTCGCAATGTTTTATGTCTTGTCTAGAAGTAGTATATTTTCTGGTGCTGACCTTCTGCGAATCATGATTGCTTGCAGCAATGGTAACTTCATCGCTCCTCCTGCGCCCGATGTTGAAGCCAAGGGAGATGACATTGATGGTGACAAAGTTGCACCCCCTCTAAATCAGAACAACTTGCAGAAGTGGGGATCGAAGGCGTGGAAGGTAGCCACCCACGGCCTGAACGTGGATATTCATGATGTGGTGAAGACCAGCGCCACAGTTGGGGCTATTCATGAAAATGCAGAGGTGTTTGAGCCCCGTGTCGAATACGCCTTCATGTACCTTCAGGTACGAATCTTTGATAATCCGACAATGAAATTAAACCGGAAACCAAAAGTTTGAGCTCCATCAAACAATCCATTGCAACTAATTTACTGTCACTGAGCTTTGAACGCACAATTCACAAGGGAGGCATTTTGTAAGTGCACTGGTAGATGCTTGAACAAAGAGATTGACCGTTTTCATCGTTCTGATGCAACAGGTGTTTTCTGCCATCTGTGTCATCTTCGCGCACGGTGCCGGAGAAGTTGGATATGCTGCAGGTCCTATGTCTACAATCTACCACGTGTGGAAGGATGGAAAGCTGACCAAGGGTCAGGTGCCACCTCTGTGGATCATCTTCTTCGGTGCCGTCGCTCTGGTAGTTGGTCTTGCCACCTACGGTTACCACACCATGCGTGCCATGGGAGTGAAGCTCGCCAAGTTGACCCCTACTCGTGGTTTCGCAGCTGAATTGGCCACGGCTCTCACTGTCACAGTGGCTTCCCAGTGAGTACCTGAGTACAGTCTTTCTGAAACAGATAATGCATATGTATTGGATGAATTGTCATTTTCTGGTGCAACAGTTGATCATATCGTGCTAAATTAGCCACAACAGCCATGCTAACAGCTCATGTCTGCACGATCCTTTCTCGCAGGTACGGCCTGCCGCAATCTGGAAGTCTGTGCATTGTCGGTGCTGTTGTCGGAATCGGAATTATGGAAGGTCGGTCTGGTGTGAACTGGAAGCAATTTGCTCTGCAGTTCTGCAGTTGGGTGGGAAGCGTGATCCTCGTGGGTCTAACCACTGCTGTTCTCTTCGCAATTGTGAGTTTCACATCATGGTGCCTCAAACGTCGGAAGTCTATTCACTAATGTGTTCCCGCACAATCAATGCATAGTTTAATTAATGGTGAACGTCGGTTTCGTGTCTCAGATAATTTCTGATGAGTTTTGTGGATATGTGATGTGGCAGGGCATCTACACTCCATCAGCTGTAGACGCTAAGGCGCTCATGTCATACAAGACTGAGATCTCCGCTATTAATGCTAACTTTTACAAGGAGTTGAATACGACATTGTACAACTTCAGGGAGGCCAGCAGTACTAATAACCTCACTCAGTTGTCGGAGGCTGAGTGGATCAGATTGAACACCACATTTGCCCAAGCCGCGGCGGCTGTGAAGGCCGTTTCCGTCCCCGCTAAAGTTGGCACAGGTAGGATATCACACTAGACCCCCGGAAAGATGCAGTGGATTTATGCCGATCTAGTGATATTCACCGTCAATGCTTCCGAGTGTGAAAATCATAAGGTGATTTTGAACTTCGGTCTCCTTTCCTGTTTGTTTTGATCTGTGCAGTGCGGCCGGCAGTATATCTCGGAAACCTGAGGAAGGGTCTCGCCGAAATCCAAAACTTCACCGTCCTCACCTTGGGCCAGAAGAACGTCTTCCCTGGATCGTTAACATGTAACAGTAACATTACGGCCGAAATCGGTAAAGTACCGGCGATCTGTAAAGCCCCGAAGTTGATATGACAGGAAAAGTCCCATGTATTCGCGTGAATTCCGATAGTTGGAGTCGTAAATAATGGGCAAAACTGCGTGAACAAGGAAATGGCGTGCTTGTTTTGATCGCCGATGGTGATACGTGGACAACTTTTGGAGAGAGATGGAGTTAGCCCAGAAGCGTTGTGTAGTTCACAAAGTTACTGCTACATATTTAGCAATCCAGAAGCCAATTGTACTCACAGGGTTTCAAGAGGGCAGTAGTTTACTCAACAGCCTTTGGGTGAAGGGGTGGGGGTGTATTGTCTGTGTGTTTTAGAAACAGCTTTCGATTCTGTCCAAGGGTAGAAACCAGTAGAGTGAAACTTGTCGCTGATCGACAAATCCGGTGATCGAAATGCAAAACGTAGGGAAATCCCCTCAATGGGAAGTGTTCGTGTGTCCCACGCGCTGGGATCAACAACGTACTTGACACGTTTTTTAAGAAAAATTCGGCAGTAAATTTCTTAAGTTGACTTCCTTTGCGTATTGTGATAACTAAAACCTTCATCGACGTGAAACCCGGCACTTCGACAATCTCACCCCCTTCCCCAATCTTACCCATCAATCCATCCTCACAAGGGTACTTCTCTTAGTAGTATCGTCTTGCGATACAGAACCCCAAGCCCCGCACGCTTCTTACCAGCCACATACAGTGCATTCTAAACTTCATGAGCACAGTATCGCTGGAAAAACCCCTTCTGTCGGTAATTATGTTCGCCCAGTTCGACAAGTCGAGGACTTCGACTTGTCGTCGGCGTATGGGACCAACTTCTGAAATCACGTGCTGTATGGCAAGAAACGTGCCGCAGTGCGATTTGGATATGAGATTTCCTGTTGAACTTGTGACCTGTCTCAGGGAATGAATCCCACCCACTCTGAATCAGAGTGTAAACTGGAGCCTGTCACTTTGCAGCAGCCGAGCTTGTAGTTCGATCCCGGAACTAGTGCGATGGGCTAAGTAGAATGGATGCATGAGCCCATACTTTGTTGCAAGGATGTGATGTTTCGATGCCACGGACTTGTGGGTTGTGGAGCACCCGATCTGTGCTGCTGCGGCGATGAACGGCCCAATGTGTGGGTTTTGTCCACCTGCTGCTGTAAAACCTGCAGCTGTAGTTGCAAAATGGTTGATTCTCTTGAAAGAAAGCCCTTCTCACTCTTCCTTGTCAGAAGAATGAAACGTGACGGGTATGGTTTTTCTCAATGAATGAATGGCTGGATGAATATATCTGTGTGTGGATGTATGTATATTACTTTCAAAAAGTTTTGAAGATTTATAATATTCATGCAACTAGATGTTCAGAAACTTCTATTTTACTTATTTATAATTAAGTAGGTTCAAGCTTCACGCACACCTCAAATTGCAAAATAGACATCCATTATGTTTATACACATGCCCATGGCCTTTAATTGGTTGCTTTGATTATCTCCAACAAATGATTTAGAGATGACTTACTTCTCCTCTTCCTTGTCTTGGTACAAATCCCAGACCTCCTTCTCCTCTTTCTTGTTAATTTTCAGTCTTAATGCTGTTTGTAATTTAAATTTCACTAAATTAGATATATTAATGTAATGATAAGAATATATTCATATGTGCAAATATATAAATAGATATATATATATATATATATATATATAGACCATCTCCATTTGAAAAAAGATTCATGATAATTATATTACTATTAAAAAGGATATGATTTTTATTAACTGCTATTTTTATTTTTAATAATTTTTCCCAGAATAGGATAAAAATCAAGTATTTTTTCTTTTCATTAATTCTCCTTTTTCAAAATTATATGTTATATTTATATATATATATATATATATATATAGAGAGAGAGAGAGAGAGAGAGAGAGAGAGAGAGATTAATTTTTTCAAGTATTAGGTTTTAGATTCATAGTCATACTCTTGTACTTCTAAAATGTAAGATAAGAATATTTATTATAAGATTCATAAACCAATATAAATGATTTTACTCTAAAATATATATATTTGGAATAAATAGAATAATTTCCAAAATAATTTATCATATCATATTGTCACATGGGTGTATTTTGTTTTATTTTATATATAAAATTGAGGTATTTCTAAAACTTATAAAATCTTTAAAAAAATATATAAAATGGATATTTTTTATATTGTAAATCTAATTAATTTTTAAAACTTCATATTAATATAAATATGTTTTTATTTATACATGTAAAATTTTAAAATTAACTAAAATTTACTAAAATAAATATAAATATTAGTTAATTCATAAATTTTTCCAAAAGCATTGATTTGTATTCCATGTAGGCTTGTACATATTCTGATTTTAGATAAACTAATGGGCTGGTTGTTGAGAGTTTTTCATTGATCTTAGTCAACTTAGGTGTTACAAAGATTTTTTGAATAAAGATATTAATTTTTTTAATTTGAAAAAATTAAAAGATTAATTTAGAGTTTTTTGTATAGTATTTTCTAAAAGAGCACTTTAAATTTGAAACTTTAGTCTTAAATATGCTATTAAAAATATTATTGTAGGTGACTATATTAAAAAATAATAAACTTATTAAAGAAATAATTATATACACCCAAAAAATTAGAGACTTCTGATTGATTAGATGTTGTTACATGGACTGCACCACATGACACAATTGTAGGGAGGGTTACAAAGGGCAGCAATCCCCTCTTTGGTAGTCCTCCTAGGCTAAGCTGGAAGCAAAGCCTTTGGAAGAAAAAAAATAAAATCTACACTTGTCCCAACAATTTTTTTGCCAATTTTCAAAAAGCACCATATTATAGATTAGAAACAAATCATCTTATTCTTTTTCTTTTCTTTTCTTTTCTTTATTTTTTATTTTTTACTATTTTTTAAAGATCATTGCACAAAAATTTAGAAACAAACTATCTTATTTTCCATCTTTTTTTTTTTTTTTTCGCCAATTTTCAAAGATCACTACACTGCAAATTAAAAACAAACAATGTAGTTCTTTATCTTCTTTCAATATAGGTAAGGCAAGTAGGTGCTAGTTTAAAACATTAAGTTCAACTATGCCAACAAGGCCCTCTTGTATATTGCCAAAAGTTTCCATCTTTGTTGTTTTCATTAAGATGATCACCTTTAAAGAAACTAAAAGCATGGACTTGGGCTGCAAAACAACATAACGTTCATTACCTATTTTTTCAACTCCTCAATGAGGTTTTAGTATATACTAACTCTATTAGTCATTGCTCCCCTATTTTTTAAGGCAATTATGTATATTAAGAATATGTGGATTGATATGCACAAAAAAAAAATTCTTTACCTCTTGAACAAACAAAATTTGCAGATTTGATAACTTTTTGATCTCCACAGCAAAAGACATGCACCACATACTCAAGTAATATCTTACACCAAGCAAGTTTGGTTTGCTTGGCATATGTCAATACAATGAACTTTACATTAAGAACATGTATGAGAAGTATGTGACACAAGTCTCTTCTAAAAAGATGTAGATCTTGGCATTTGCTAATCCAACTCTTTATGTTGAAATCTTTCAAAATATAAAATGATTAATTTCTCATTATGTAGTGAAGATGGTCTACAAATAAGTTAAACTTCTATATTTGCATATGGTAGGTAATATTGAGCACTATAAAGAGATTTTTACAACAATGCTTGATATGCCATGCTCACATCTAATTTGAATTGTGGTACATAAAGAGCAATGTGTTATTTTCAACAACTTTACTATCATTGGCATTTGTCAAAGCTAGCAGTAATTCTACTTCTTGTCAAGAATGCCCTCAATTTCTTTTCTAATACATTAGAAAAAGTTTCAATAACCATCAATAGTCTTCTATTATATCAAAAGATTCTTGCACTTGTGAAATTATATTATATCACAACAACAATTGTAGCCTATTAGTGAATTGCAATGTCATGTTGTAATACAATTATATGGTGAAAGATAAAAATATAGATTTTATCATAGAAGAGCCTACTAAAAAGATATAATAGAAAAATATGGATAAAAGATAGGAAGATAATAAAAAAATTTAGTGTTAATGTTTTTTTTATGAAAAAAACTTCAATATATTTTATATGGCTATAAATTTAGCAAAATAAAGTAGATTGAAATAATAAATGATATATCCATCTTCAAAAGAGAGTTAAATAGTTTGTAGCAAAAATTACATCAAGATACTAAGAATTGATACTCAAAGGGGACTAATTGTAAACCAACATTGAAATCAAACTTGAGGCACAAAACCATGCACCTACAACAATTTCAATGTATTTTTGATAATTAAAGAGTATCATTAAAAAAAACATTTAAGAAGGTTATTTAATCATTTATTTAAGATGATTTGGATGCATATTAAGTTTTTGAAAGCTCTTCAAAGTGAAAAACGTATTTAGAGATTTAAGATTTTAAGAAATAAAAAAAAAGGTCATATATTTGAAGTATTTGTAAGTATTATAGCAAATTTACAAGTGAAATTTTGTGAATTTATTAATGTACTTGTCTTAAATGTGTTTTATAAATTTGAGATCAATTAAGCAATAAATTTAAAAGATATAGGAGTTTTATTGGATTAAAATCTTAGATATTTGAATTTTAGAATTAGTGAGGGTTTTTGTGATCTTAAAAAATCTCCCACTTTTATTAGAAAAAAATTTAGTGAATTTTTTTTGACTTAGATATCTATAATTTTTTTAATTTGTAAAGCAATTTAATGGATTAGCAAAGAGAAATTTCTTCTAAAAAATCAACATTTAGGTTGGACAAGGGAGATGGCTAACATCTAAGAATTTAAAGAGTATATAATTTCATTTGATGAGTTCAATTTTCTTCAAAAATTTTGTGCCGATTATTTTTTTGTCGATTGAAATGTATAATAAATATTTAGTTGAGATCAATAGTATAATTAATAGTTATTAAGATTTTAAACTAGCTATAAAAATTAATTGGGATTTACTTAGTTTTTTCTTGAATTTCTTTAGGATTATATTAGGATTTATTTAATATTTTTTAATATTTTTAATTTTAATATTCTAAAATTTTAATATTTTAATATTTAGTATTTTAAAGATTTTTTTCAAAAAATAAATTAATAATTTTTTATGTTTTTTTAGTAATTTCTTTCAAATCTCTTTTGAAATTGGTTAAATTTTGATTTGAATTATTAAGGTTTAATTAAAATTTATTTAAAATTCTATTAGACTTATTAGGACCTTATTGTTACATTTTCTATTTATTTTCCATAGATAGGTACTTAATCCATTTTCAAGCAAGAATTATTCTTGTAATATAACAACATATGGTAGAGACAAAGAAGTGTCTACTATGAAAAAATAATACAAGAAGATATCCATTTAGATTAAGGCACTATCAATGTAAAGTATTTTTAATGTCTTGTAGTACATGCGATGATGTTAGACATTGACAAACAAACTGCAAGTGCCTTTACTTTGAACATGTAATAAATGAATAAAGATCAAATTTAAATAT